GTTTTTAGTTTTCTTCATCATCTCCCATGTGGATCTTCCAATTTTTCTCACTGTCCTCGATCTTCTCTGTCTATAATTCTCCCTCCAAACAGAGAGCAAAGATGATCTTTCTAATTATAAATGTTCTAGATGCACATTTGATATCATTTCCTTGCTGAACATTTTCAGTGGCATCCTGACAATAGAATGATGTCAACTTTTTTAGATGGAGGGCATTAATCTGATCCCACCATATTTCAAATACGCTTTTTTACCTTTCCATCCCACGTGGGCTATCCTTTTCCCATGTAATCTCTAGAACTGAGCAGGTTCTCTGAGCCTTTTCAACAAATCTTTTGTCTAGCAAGTTCTTTACTAACAATTCAAAATGCAGCTTCTTTCCAATAAAGTTTTCTCCAGTCTACACTTGATCCTTGCACTTACCACATGTTTATCACGTAAAACAGTCTACCTCAGTCACTAGACTATTGTTTGATAGCAGAGATTTTTATCCTATCTTCCTTTATATCTCAAGTACATCAAACTGGTGGACAGCATCTAATAAGGTTTTAAGAAGTGTTTACTGAATTAAAGTTGAATCACACTATCTGGTGATTTCTATAGATTACTATATAATTGTTTTTATTTAACTTTCAATATTTTCTCAACCATGAAGAATCACATTTCCATCTATTAGTTTAATCTTGCCAGTTTATAGCCTTTCAGGTTGTCCTTTCTTTTGCATTTATTTAATCTCCAGTGAATTTTGAAATGTCTTTGTTATATTTTACTTTTACTAGCTCCAACACCTATTGTACTCACTCATGAGACAAATGTCTCCTTCGACCCATTACTTAGCTTCTATTTTACTTCATTTTGGTTATATATTTTAGGTAAGAAGTCAATTTCTCTCAAAAGTGACTTGAAATCAGCTCGTGAAGAGTTTTCTCTTTAACCACTAACAATTTTTAGAAATTATTTTCCATGTACGTAGGTATGTATAATTAAATTTGTATGACTGTAAATTTTCTTTCCAAAGGGCCCCCCAAGGTGTTCATTCCAGTTTTCAGTATTGGTTCATGAGTTTACAGTGTATGCTCTTGATGTACACCAATACTTGAGTTTATTTTAGATATTTCTTAGGTTTGAAAGTGTTCCCCTTTAATAACTTTGCTAATTTTATGGAGACCAAAATTAACTAGTCTTTAATAATCTTGATGTTTGTCCATGCTGGACCACATGGTTTCTCTCTGCGAGTTACTCTGAGAGTGGCCATATTTTTTTATGCTACATTATTCCATGCCTTCCCAGGATTTAGCGGCAATAGTTCAATAATTTACTAATGACTTTCCTTTGAGTCATTAGAAGAAGAATTGTTCCTGAAGAAGCAATCAGCTAAATAAATGACAGTGCATAGACATTTTCCTGGAGGCTACAAAGTGACCTATTGTAATATACTAAATTGGTTCTTCTCCAACAGGACATTCAGATCCTTCTTTTATTTCACTTTGAAGTGGAGGAATAAATGAGAAAAAATGTGCTCTGAAATCTTCTGTCCTGCTTTAGAGCATGTAAATAGCATCTCACACAAAAAATTTTCAAGCTGTCAGGAGTAAGGCAAGTATGATAATTTAGGATAATTAAATGCTTAAGACAATCAAAATAGAACTGATGTTAGTATGCTTTTCTCACTTGAAGAAACTTCTTTTAAAAAGTATTTACTGATCTAAATGTCTTTCAATAGGGCAGTTAAAAATTATGATCCAGCAATACACATTCTGGAATATTTTGCAGTTTTTAAAGCAGAAGAAAGAATATCTATGTGTATGGACACAGAACGATATACAGTTGTCTTAAAATAAGAAAAACTATGAATAATACATATTTTATGATCCCATTCATATAAAAATAGCAGAAGCACCAGTAAAATATATACAAAGAGAGAGGAGATTGGAAAGATACACACATTAAAGGGCACGCAATGTTCTGTATTGAAAGCTTTTGTTTTTATGTCTGTTTCTTCCACCAGGCTCCACTGTTGCCAGATCAAATACAGGATGTCCAGTTAAATTAGAATTTCAAGTAAATAATATTTTTTTGCATAAACATGCACCGTACATGCAATAAAAAATTCATTGCTTCTCTAAAGCTCACATTTGAGTATACTGTATTTCAGTAACTTTTAAATTTGCTAAATCTTGTAATTCTTCTTTAAGGAGACATATGAATATCCTTCTTGTATTCCTATCAACCGACACAGTTATAGGGATACACTGAGTGCATAATAAATGGCAAGAGGGAAAGTAACAAAGGAGGGCACAAAAATAAGAAATTTTCTAAGTGTGATACATACATTATCTCAATTCTCATGGAAATACCTCACTGCTTTGTTAGTGGTTCTACTGTACAGATTAAGAAACAAAGGTATATAGAAGACACACAGTAGGTAAGTGGTGGAACTAGAAATGACCATGGCAACGAATTTCTAGGTCCTGCTTCAGTAGGATAATCAACTGCTAGATGCGGGAGGTAGAGGGAGAAGAGAAAGGGAAATGGAATCAGGAGTGAAGGTCTGCTTCTGCCTGTGTGGACCAGAATAGGACTTTGCAGACACAAACAGACAACAACAACAACAAAACCAGTAACTTTTTGTGAAGGTAGAATGTGGGATGTATTTGAGTCAGATAAATCTGGGCCTGGTCGCCACCTCCACCACTCACTTCACCAAGTTACATAATTTATTTTTGCCTCAATTTTCTTGTCTGGAAAATTGGAGAGGACCTATCTGAGTACTGATATAGGGAATAAAGGAAATAACTTCGGAAAGGGGATCAGTACAGTGCTTGGCAAGTAGTCAATACATGTAATAACAAGACAGTAATACTACTGCAGAGTTGATGAGAATATATTATTGAAATTCTAGGGTGCTTCTCTTTCTCCTTAACAGAACAGTTACTCTTTATAGATTAGAACCAGAATTAATATGTCGGAGTATTAATGTAGTTTTCTCCCAACGGTAATGATTTTCACTTTAAAAATTATCAAACAATAAAATTTGACTCTTTTTGGTATACCAACTTCTATGAATTTTAACACATGTATAGATTTCTGTAACCACCACCATCAAGATTCACAGCTACGTGACTACAGATTTTGAGATTCCTTTGTCAAAGTATTTCACATTCACATTGCATAACAGTTAAAAATAAGAAAAATGAATTTTAATAAGTATGCTGAAGATGTAAATTAACGAAACTTTGCACAAATTCTTGCAGTCTCCAGTCCCTTCAGGTCTTACACTGTTGGCTCTACAAACTATCCCTTTCTACAAAAGTAATCAAACAGGAATCCACTTGAGAAACAGGGCCTTTCTTCACACTAAAGACATATCACAGGCACAAATTTCCAACATTCCTTATTTCAACATTTTATATCACCAAACCTTAATTTTTCCCAACTATGTTTTCTCTCATCGCCACTTTCTTTGTGAAATGAAGTGCATTCTCATACTCGCAGGGAAATTATTTGACTGGGATAAGCAGGATTTATTGCTCTTGAGAGAGCAACTATAGAGCTTTCAGGACCCCAAATCTCTTCGATTTAATAGATCACCCCTGTTATCAATTATTAAAGGGGTCTCTTTACCCAACTCCTTGTCATCTACCTTCACCTCCAGGAAGGGGAAGGGGAAGTGGAGTGAGTTGAGCAGAGGGGAGTCTTGGATGCTAGATTTTAGGACCAAATTCAAACTTCAGTTCTCCCTGAAGGTGGCCTCCGTCCCTCCCACCCCCAATCCCAACCCCATGAACTCTCGGGGTTTAAATGATTTGCACTGACAGACCACTGCAACATCTGGTGAAAAGAGCTGGTTCGATTTCTGGGTGACTCACGTTGTTGCTATTTGCCTTTTGTTTCTAAAATGCGTTGGCTGCCATTTTCTTTCCTCTGCTTTTAACTTTGGGAGGAGGAAGGTGATAAATCAAAAGGAATCTTCTCTCCACGAATCTACCCCCCCCCCACTTCCTTAAAGTTGCCTGTCTCTATTCACAAGTTCCCTGACTGTCCTAGAAGTGAGGGGGCGGGTCAGGTGCGGGCGCATTAATGATACCTAAGTCTGAAGTTGATAATTTAAGATGTCACTTTGGTGGGAAGACTTTCTCAAGCTCCCTAGCAGCCAGCTGGGCATTTTGCTGCTGCCGCTGTGCATTTTCAGCTCCTTTCTTTATGGTGCTGCTTTGCACGACTCTGTCACGCCTGCATCTATCTCGCTACTGCGATAGGTGCCCGAATCAGGGTGAATTCCACGAGATTCACCAGCGGTTTTGCTTCTGTCCAAGGTAAATAAAGTATGCAAAATTAGGAACCACCAAAGGATGCCGGGGAGAGGGGAAAGAAAGGGATTCCCTCACCTTTTCCGGCAAATTCCTCTTTAATTTCCAGCGGAAGAAAGCGCGTAGCCCAGATCCACCCCCCATTGTACTTTCTTAAATCCCCCCAGCCCAGGGTGACCGAGGTTGGCTACCGGGCAGGAAAAGTCCCTCCGGCAGGCCTGGTCCTCCCCCGCCCCCGGGTTGGTTTTTCCCAACTGCGGAGGTTGGGCCAGGGGCTGGGGTGAGAGAAGAGTCGGCGCCCGCGGCGCGGAGCCGGGAAGTCGTGGCGACTCCGGTGGGACTCGGAGTTGTCATCGGACGTGGCTGGCGCGGAGGTGAGCGAGCAGCGTAGCCGCCAAGTCGGAGACACCCCGGCTCCTCCCCGTCCTCACGCTGCAGAGTAGGTTAAGTCTGGAGTCCAACCGCCCCTTTGTTCGCGGTCTCTCCCCTCCCCTTTGGAGATGATTTGAACCCCTCTGGGATCCAAAAGGCTGGCGGGGGCGCGCGCTGGGGCGGGGTGGGGTGGGGACAGCTGTACGCTCCTCCACTTCCAGTTAATCCGGGAAGGTACTAAAAGAGATCAAAAGACTCCTGTAACCTGAAACTTCCCTCTCATCCCAACCTGGACCGGGAGGTGAGGTCCGGGCGGGGGCGGAGATCCCGGAAGGCAGGTCTTGCGCGCAGGCGGGGGCGCGCGGGGAGCTGTAGGACAAGTTGGGTCCGGGTGCCGCTGGGGATTAAGCGAGAAGTTAGACGTGTGGACAAGTCGGATCGCGACAGGAGGGGGGGAGACTGGAAAGGTATATATAGCTACAGCGCAGACCCGCGCCGGAGGAAGACCGTGCTCAGGGTCTGGGACGCTGGCCACTCTCCCGGGTAAGGATGTGCTTAGTTGGGATCGGCGCTGGCGAGGCCGGACGGGCTTTGGGAGGGCGGTCTTGGGGACAGCATGGGGGGGACGACTTGGCCCGGAGAGGCCGGTTCTCGCACTCCCCGCCCGAGCTGCGGCCGCCGCGCCCCCTCACATTCTTCTTGCACTTATCCCAGGTCGCGCAGCGGGTCCAGCGCGAGGCGCCAACAAAAGAGGCGAGGCGGTGCCACCCCGGGGCGGCGGCTGGGAGAGGAGGTTGAGGAGGAGCGCGGAGCCCCACGTCCCGACCCGCCGTGCGTACTTTCTGGAGGGAAGGGGCGGGGGAACCGGCCCCGGGAGGGGGACGCCAGTTGGCTAAGGGGTGAGCCGAGTTCCGGCGGCGGCGCCCTCCTCCGCTCCCACGGGAGGAAAGTTTTCTCCCGACGCTTCCGGCCGGCCCGCGCCCTCTGGGCCCGGCCTCCCGAGTCTTCGGAGCGGGCGCCGTCCCAGCCCAGCTCCGGAGAGACCCGCGCCGCGATGCCTGCGGGGTGCGCACGGAGCCCCGCTGCCGGGGACGGGCGACTACGGCTAGTGCGGCTGGCCCTGGTCCTCCTGGGCTGGGTCTCCTCGTCCTCGCTCAGCTCGTCCGCATCCTCGTCCACCTCCTCGGCGTCGTTTGTGGCCAGCGCGGTGTCCGCCCAGCCGCCGCTGCCAGGTCAGTGCCCTCCGCCTTGCGAGTGCTCGGAGGCGGCGCGCACGGTCAAGTGCGTTAACCGTAACCTGACGGAGGTGCCGGCGGACCTGCCCCACTACGTGCGCAACCTCTTCCTCACCGGCAATCAGCTGACTGCGCTCCCCTCCGGCGCCTTCGCCCGCCAGCCCCCGCTGTCGGAGCTGGCCGCGCTCAACCTCAGCGGCAGCCGTCTGCAGGATGTGCGCGAGTACGCCTTCGAGCATCTGCCCGGCCTGCGCCAGCTCGACCTCAGCCACAACCCACTGACCAACCTCAGCTCCCTCGCTTTCTTGGGTAGCAACTCCAGCAGCAACGCCAGCATCTCGGACCCCAGCCCCCTAGTGGAACTGTTCCTGAACCACATCGTGCCCCCTGAGGTACAGGAGAAGCGGAGCTTCGAGGGTGTGGTGGCAGAGGCCCTTCGAGCTGGCCAAGCACTGCGCGGGCTCCACCGCCTGGAGCTGGCCAGCAACCACTTCCTCTACCTGCCCCGGGACGTGCTGGCTCAACTGCCCAACCTCAGGTACCTGGACCTGCGCAACAACTCGCTGGTGAGCTTAACCTACGTGTCCTTCCGCCACCTGACACACTTAGAAGACCTCCACTTGGAGGACAACGCCCTCAAGGTCCTTCATAATGGCACCTTGGCCGAGTTGCAAGGCCTGCCGCATGTCAGGGTCTTCATGGACAGCAATCCCTGGGTCTGCGACTGCCAAATGGCTGACATGGTAGCCTGGCTCAAGGAGACAGAGGTAGTGCAGGGGAAAGCCAAGCTCACCTGTGCATTCCCGGAAAAAATGAGGAATCGTGTCCTCTTGGAACTCAATAGCTCTGATCTAGACTGTGACCCTATCCTCCCCCCATCTCTACAGACTTCTTATGTCTTCCTGGGTATTGTTTTAGCTTTGATAGGTGCCATTTTCCTTCTGGTTCTGTATTTGAACCGCAAGGGGATAAAAAAGTGGATGCATAACATCAGAGATGCCTGCAGGGATCACATGGAAGGGTATCATTACAGATACGAAATCAATGCGGATCCCAGGTTAACAAACCTCAGTTCTAATTCGGATGTCTGAGAAACAGTAGCGGACAGAACAAGGACAACTATGCATGAGACGTAGACTTAAGCTTTTTCCTGTCCTAGGCATCTTCCACCTCCACCCTCCACTGCAGACACCACTGACTTTGAAAGCAGTGAAGGGAATTTGCTTCCTTGTTATGTAAAGTTTTTTTTTTTTTTTCCTCTTGGTGTGTTCTGTTAATGTATGACCCTGAACAAGTGTGCGTAGTGTTTTACCTTCTTCGTTTTTGTGGAACTCCTCAACACGTGTGGAGGGATTTTTCAAGTTTCAGCATGAACATGGACTCTTTCCTGGCTCTCTCTTTCACTTAGTACAATTCAAGGTGTAGCAAATGTACCTATACAGATAGCATTCAACAAAAGCTGCCTCAACTTTTTTCAGAAAAATACTTTATTCATAAATATCAGTTTTATTCTCATGTACTTAAATTGTGGGGGGGGGAATGATTGCATTGCATAAATTGCCTGCAGACCTTAGCAAGCTCTTCAAAGTAACTCCATTGTACACAGGAGCACCTGCATCTGAGAGCATGCTTACATTTTATTGTTCTGCATATTACAAACATAACTTGCAACTTCAGATAACTTCTTTGACAAAGTAAATTACTTTTCCCATTGCAGTTTATATGAAGCTGTACTGAAGTTTTTTTAATAAACTGCATCAAGAGCCAACAGACTAAACTGTTAAAAAAAATTCAATAAAGATTCTCAAAAGAACTACAGTTGTGTTCAAGTTTGCTATTTGAAAAAAGGATTAGGGACAGTGATCTTGAATGGTCTTGGTTCAGATGGTAATTAAGTTATTAGTTAATGAAACTGTAGCAGTGTCTTATATAAAACAACTTTGGCGATAGTTTTGCAATGGTGGTTTCTTTCAGGATTTAAATCAAGAATTTGAATATTCATCTGAACATACTTTTGGTCCCAAAGTTAATGCTATTCATGAAAGCAATTTGGTAAGAGCATTCTGAAGCTGGTAAGAGAGAATAATTCTGTATGATAAACACTTGATAGTTTGGGGCTTGTTTTAGACTAATGAAGTTGTTAGGACAGAACAATATTTACTTACTAAAATTCTCCACATTAAATTGTTCTAAGGGGTTTTAGAGCAGAGTATGACACATATAATGCAAATAAATGTGAAAGGGAGTGTCTTAAATAGATATAGTATATTCTAAAATAAAAAAATTTAAATGTAACTCCAAAAAATTTTGTAAGATCAATATGTAAATGGAACTTAAACTGTCTTGAGAATATTTTTTTCAAATTTTAAATGGAACATACATGGATGATAGTTTTTCAGAGACCCTGTTAATATTTTTAAGAAATTGTAACCATAGGTATGAATTTGAGGAAATACCCAAAGATAAATGTCTACATCCATAAACAAGTATCTCAATTAATTATATTCAGTTCAGAATTTAAGAATTTGGGGATATTTTATCTTTAATTGGGCTCTATATTAGTATATGCAAGCACTTGTGAAGAACAAATCACATTTAGATATAATTAAGAGCAATCGGTTAATCAATTGATACTAGCAAGATTACTTTTTTTAGTTTATTATTTTCCAATTAATCCCAAAAGTTAATTCTATTAATCTATAAGCTACCGTGAAAGTGACTTTAAGTTAGCCATTATTGCTTAACTGAAAGTGTACATAAACTTGTCTTAGGTCCTTTTCCCTTTAAATTGGTTATGTGTGAGTGTGTTATATTTGAAGTAGAATTTGTTTTCCTATTTTTATATATTCATTGGATTAGCTAGTACTTCAGATTCTAGAAATCTTTACCTCATTCTTTGAGTTAAATTCAGAAGTTTCTAAAAATAGAGCTAAAGATAATGAATCTGTTCCTTGTTTAGACTATGGAGTCAGAATATGAAATTTTAATACATTAGCTTTCATAAAGCTCATTTTATGAATGATGGTGTTCATTATTTATGGGTTATACTTCAGTTCCTATAATTACCTGAGAAAAGGTTATTATATGGTACTTAATATTAACATTTTATCAATGTTCACAAGGAATTCAAAAATTGGCTGCCATTATTTCCTGAGAATGATGAGAAGATAGTAATCTGCCCAAAATAGTGGAAGCATCTAAATCACAGCCTACTATCTCAGGAATAAGTTGCTGAGGGACTTTCACTAGTTAAGTCTGCTGATATTATGGAAAACAACAAATTATGATCTTTATGTAATCTCTATAGAGAAGAATCATTTCTCCATCATGTGATCTAACAGTTAAAATTTGAGCTTTCATAAGATCCAGGAAGCAGTAGATTTGTTTGTCTAGCTTTTCTCATCATCGACCCACTGAAGCAGAATCTGTGATAAAATGAACCCAAGTTGTCTCCTGTGAGGTAGATGACTTTTTTGAAGTTATGATCTCTTGTTTCTTTTTTATCCCCTTAACTCTTCCCTTGTCTGAACACCTCAATTTGCTACTGCTTTCTTTTATAGCACATCACTCCTTGCTGTTCTCCAATACATTGCAACAGAAAATTCTTAGGGTAAAAAATACTGTTTGAAAACAATTGCTACTGTATAGTCAAAATACTGTTAAGTCTATAAACTTTTAAGGCACTATGAGTCCCTTGGACGACAGTATAAAGGAATATAGAAAGAATGAAATAAAAATAAAAGTCATCACTGTTTTACATGCTCTTATTTTAAACACTGTTCTTTACTACCATTATGCATTATTGAGCTTAGAAACCTACAGTCTATTTTAAAAAATTATTTTTATTGGCAATACACTTTGCTACGAGATTAATGAAGTTTTCAGCAGAAAGCACAATTCATTTATCCTTGGCAAATTTCATTGGAGAAAGTGAGGCAAATACCTAAATATTTATGCACTTGATTAAATCCCTAAATTTAAAAACATATCAAAATGTCCAATAAATTTCTAAAGATTTTAGAATAATACATCTATTTGACCATGGATCCTAATCTCCCCTTTCTTTGCAGCATTAATATCTGATTCAGTGGTGACCTATACAACACATTTGTACCTGGGAGCTAATAGATTTTTGTAATAAACTTCTAAAGCACATTTGATAAATGTATTTAAAGAAAAATGAGTTACATAAATGGATATTATCAATAGAAAACAAGATTTTATTTTTTTTCAGAGGAGAAGGTTTGAGATGACTTACATCTTTGCGTTCTGTCTTTTTAATAAAAGTAGTTGAAAAAGGGAGGTCCAAATGAACAGGGATTGTTTCCTCAGCAATTATCTTTTACTCTATCCCTTTTGATCTGAGGTTCCAATACAGGGCTTACCTTGTTGAGGACATTAGAGGTTTTACAGCTCTAGGAGTCTTTCATATCATTTCTGCTTTCCATTTTATATTTTTCTGAAGGCCACCCTAAAAGAGACACCATTAGGACATGCAAGGTTAGAAAAAATTTGCAAGGGCTTTCTGTTCGAAATCCATTCAGCCGTCCAGCCTCAGAGAGCAGCACCATAAAGTGAAGGCAGACGTTTGTTAGATGAGATTCAGGTTTCTCTTTTACCCTTGTTCAAAGATTTTTCACAGTAAAGGACAGAGAAGTGAGGAAAATATCTTTCTAAATAATAAATATATGAAAAATACCTTGACAATGTCTTATAAAACTTTCAGTAATACCACGATACTACACTAGAAAAGTAATCAGCTAACGAAACTGTATTCTGTATTACCCAGGCGATCCTGTCTCCTCTCAGATGGGGAAAAACAGTTCCTTGAAGATGTGTGTACACTTATTTTAAAGCACAGACTGGTTTTATTGTGCATTTTATCTTAAAACAGTTTTGTCGCTCTATTTTGTCACAGATAAAAAATATCTAGAATTTTAAAAATGTTTGATATATGAAACGTAGTCTTGATAAGAATATGAATTTTGTAAGAGCTGTTGCTGTGTCAAACATAGTTTTCCATTCACAAATGAGGAAACTGATCACTCTGGCTTGTCATTATTTTATACAACGGCAACTAGGACTAGGTCTCAGGGTTCTTTATTGCTAGGGCTCTTTTTGCCACGTGGTATGACTGACTACCTACTTTGAGACCCTTGAAATTCCTATATCTAATAAAAGAAAGCAAATGCTGTGGCAAATTTCTTATTGTTTTTGCTATGAGTAAATGTTTCAGTTTGCTCTAAATTTTACTTCCAGTATGTTAAAAATGACTTTGTTTCAGACCCCGCAATATGCTTACATATTTTTGAAATAATTTTGTTATAGTAATCTCATTACTATGAAACTCCTCTGAGTCCATGATATAATAGGAAATATTTTGGAAATTTCACGGTGATATTTCTTTTGGAAAGAAAAATAAAACTGTGGAAAGCTGTGCTAGCTTGTTTCATTCTATCTTAGAAGATGAGTGAGCTCAGCTGGTGAGAACACTAAACAAATGAGACCAAGTGCATGGCCATGAGATCATTCAGTTGCCAGGGGAGAGAGAGTCTGTTTTGCATGCTCTGGTCTGCTCTCCAGGCCCCTGCAGCTTCAGGTACCTGCTACCATCCGTTTGAGAGCCTATCCAAAGAGGGGAGCTAAGACAATGCAAATCCATCATCACCCTAGAAAACCAGTGGAGTCACTGGCAAAACCGAGGCAGCCCTGCTGCTGCCATGCTGTTTGTCTTTACATATGCATGACACGACAGAAATGTCATGGCATGCATGCCACACATCACAAAGTTTCTTATGTGAATTTTCAGAAAAATCTATCATGGTGCCTCTTAATGTGTGATGTGGGAAATTAATTATGTTTGCTTTATTATTTAAAATAAAATGAGGTTTAAGATTAAGGATTATGATTACTATATCACAAACTTGTATGTAAATGTTTATAAAAACAGAAATGTCTTTTATGTTTAGCTGACGCTTTATGACAGTAGGATTTATTTGTGGCTCATAGTTTAACTTGGTTAGTATAAGGATATATTTATTTTCAAGGAAGCAAAAGCTTAAAATATGACCAACTGTAATACTTTTTGTGAAAACTAAATATTTAATACTGTGTTTTAAAGAACCCGAGGATATTATTAAGGCTTTTTTTAAATGAAAATTTTTAGATTTCCCAACTGTCTTCCTCCTCCCTTCCGCAGTCTTATTTCTACTACTTTTTGTATTCTTGTTTCCAAAGAGAAGCATGATATATAACATTTTAAGGTGACTATTTGCACAGGGGGAATAGGACTGATTGAAACATTACATGAGTCTATCTACAAATAGGCATTTCTTTTTAGGATGCAATTTCTGTCACTTTCACAATACAGCTAGTAAACCATATTCAAAGAAGTCTTTATCTTTCAATCAGGCACATTCTATGGCTATTCTTACAGGTCATGACGAACACATAGCTATTAAATACACAAAAGGTATTTTCAAATTAACTCATGTTTCTTGTAGTTTATTTAAAAATACAAGGGAAAACTTCATGAATAATCCTGTAGTTAAGGAAAAAGTTGCCTTAATTGAGATAACTGCCTTTTGTTTATATTATATCTTGTGTTTTTTACTTCTAGATTAGTGAGCATTCCCACCTATCTTTAACAACTATTTTAATATCTGGCTTTAGAATACTGCAGACAATTACATGTTTATAGGACACTTTGCCATTTTAACTAATATTCTAATGAGCATTGTTGTACAAACCTACCTGTGTTTTTAAAGCTTTTTAAAGCTCCCATTTTCCCCTTAAATTAGATCCTTGAAAGAGCATTACTGCATTAGAGTGTATCATCTCTTTTTTTCCTGACCTCTGCGAATATTTTTGATTTTTTTAAATTATAAATCTTACATGTAGACCAGCTTAGTTCACTATGTTTTAAGAGTGTCATGTCAGACTTTGGACAGAATTCTAAATTCTTGGTGGACAGGATTTTGAACAGAAAGAAACCTTAAGCTACTATTTTTAACCCACAAATGCCTACTCTGTTAAAATAACAAAACTGGAGTGTTGCTAGGCCCATAACCCAGTTAATATGTGTGTGTGTGTCTTGCAGGATGAGAAAAGGTGGTGAACATTTGGGAAATTAATCCCTAACTAGTTATAGTTAGTGAGCAATTTTCAAGACAAACCCATATCTTTGCCTGAATTCTACTGTTTTTTTAATAGATGATTTATATATGTAAACTTAGAGTTGATTTAGATTCCATGCACAAAATATAACTGTGCTAATCTTACTGTATATTTGCTTTAAAATTTCAGTGAGTTCATTTGTATAGTTCATTCAGGATATTCATTAAGTGCTTTCTATATCTCAGTGTTGTTGAATTTGATAATTGAATTAAAAAAACAAATTTCTGACATAAAACTGCTTCCGATAAAATAGGCAGGATAGCTAATGATCATAGCTAACATTTGGGGTATTTAGTATGAAGAAGATAATAGGCAAAGTCCTTCACATGTTTGGTCTTATTGCTTCTCATTTGACGAGGAAATTGAGACTTATAGAGGTAACTAACACAAGGACAACTAAATAGCAAAAAAATCACATGTAAAATTTCATTTTTGTCCTTCTCCAGGATGAATTTTAGGAGCAACTAGATGTGACTGACTTTGTTATAGGATAGAACACTATAAATCACCACCAGAGATCAAACAGTGTGATTCAAAGCCAGGAGAGAACTTGTCTTGTGGGGAAAAACAGCAAAGTTTCATGGAGGTGTTAACTTTTAAGATTATCTTGAAGAAGCAGCAAATAGAAATGAAGGGTAGAAGAAAAAACTCAGGACAGAGAGAATATTTTATTTTCCATTGTGATTAGGGGGTGGGGTCAGAGCAAGAGTTTGGATTTTTGTGATTAACTACGCAGCAGGTGCTAAGGGATGAAGGCCATGGGCCCTCTTATGGACTTTGCCTAGATGTGGGGCAAAAAGCAGGAGGAAGATGGATGGGACTTGAATAGTGTCAGTATTCAGACCATAACAGAATTAGAATCAATTATAACTCATGACTGATGTTTGATTGATGACTGAAGTGTGCCATGTCTCATTTAATTGATTTTGAACTTGTTTAAGTAAGTCATTATGGTTCTCTATGAGGCTTACAGCATGTGGCCATTAAGAGGTGAAAGTTCCATTGAATGTCTTGTTTAACAGTCTGTGGTGTGTATTTTGAGAAGTGAAATACATGCCTTCCTTGGTCACTATCAATAATGTCTAAGGTGCTTTATTTTGGTTTACAATTCGCAGACATGTATGACATTGATTTATATTTTGGGTGTCTGTGAGGCAAGATGTTCCGAAAGATTTTTAACCCAAAAGGAGTAAACTCAGATAAAAAGTTGTTGACATTGGTTGGACTAAGTAACCATATAATCGGTAATGTCCCAGAATTCTGTAACGACATGCACATAGTTGGCCAAGCATCCACCAGTGCTAAGATGACTGTGTTAAGTTTAGTCAGTTGTGCTGACCCTTGAGTCTCATCCTTGGTCAAGATTGGCCTGGTTAGGAAATGGAAGGCAATTGCTTGCTAGAGGCTCCATCTCGTGTTGTGTTGATCTTATCATAAAGTAAAGGAGCTCAATTTTCTGATTCATACTTATTATTGCTCAGTTCATTCTGAGTAATCTCTCTCTCTCTTTCTCTCTCTCTCACTCTCTCTCTCTTTCACACACACCCACACCCACACCCACACACACACACACACACACACACACACCAGTGGGCATGAGAAAAAGGTAGACCTCTCCAGCACCATTGCATCTGCAAGGTCTTGTAGGTGGGATATGCTGGAAGGCCCAAGTTTGATTCTATCCTGTACCATTTCCATTTTAATAAGTCTTTTGTGACCATGCCAGGTATGCCAGGTGCTGCCTCAGTAATCCAATGCATGAGGCTTAGCTGGGTATGAAAATTCTTGGGCTCAGGGTCTGTTAGGACCTCTGCTTCAAGAAAGACCCAGTATACAGACAGCAGTTTGTGTTCAAATGTGTGTGGCCTGGGGCTAAGGAGAACATTTTCTTGTATTAGAAGCTCATGGACAACTTATGATGGGCATAAATTGTCCAGAGACTCCAGAAGTTATGAGAGGAAATTCTAAAACCGCTATAGGAATCTCTGGACAGCTTGTTATAGTGCAATTTGGACAGATTCTAGAATCTTTTGTTGGAGGGGACTCTTCAGAGCAGGCAACTTTGCAAGTAAAAGTATAAATGAACTTATTGTACTCATATTTAAAAGTTTATTCCTACAGAGTCCCAACTCAATTTAGTCAGTGTCAGTGGTCTCTTGCATAAGGACTGGCTTTATTGGGTTGAGCGGCCCTGGATTGGAGTCAGCTTTGAAAAAACTTTTTAGCATTTTGATAAATCATCACACTCAGTAGACCCAAGAGTTTCTGCTCGTCTATTTTATAGTTATCCACCAGGGTGATGGCATCCTCTGGTCCTTTAGGAGGCTATTTTTCATTATGTTCTATGCCTTATGGAGGTTGGTTTTGACCTATGAATGAATGAATGAATGAATGGAGATTGACTATCTAACAGCCAAAGGGTTTTACACTCTATTCCTTCTTTTTTTCTTCCATCTTCTGATAGATGTTCTAATGAGAAATGAATTCACCAAAGATATTGCTTGAACAAATCTGCTGTCTCAGTAATTTAATACAGAATGTTGGGTAGTGTCTTCTTATAGTCCTCAGAATAAATTAGTCACATATAAGTTGGGTAGTTTTATATAACTTTATATCATATACTGCAGAGAAATACCATTTTATTTAAGGAAGAAATTTCTATTTAATAAGTGACATGTTTCATAATCCCTATGCCACAGTAATATGCTACAGAAAAACCATTCTAAGTGCTTCATTAATATCAAGTCATTTTGTCTTCTTAATGAGACAGTATAGTAGGAATTATCACATAGATAAGTACACTGAGGCACACAGAGGTTAAGCAACCTGCCCAAGTTCACACAGCTAGTAAGTGGTAGAGCTAGAATTGAATCTGGCTTCAAAATCCACAATCTTAACCATCATGCTATATTGCTTCTCACATATGTCATGATTACCACAATGCTACTTATGCTCATAGAAATTTATAGATATATATAATTTTAATTTCAAAGTCTATTTTTCCATTTTTGATATTAACCCATAAATATAAAATCACATTTTAATGGTATTTAATGTATGTGTAGAATGGCAATAAAACAAGGATCAGAATAAGATATTGTCTATGGAAAAGAATACCCCAAGAATTTCATTTGCAATTCTAAAGTGAAAAAATACAATAACTTTTAAAAAGCCACTTAAAAAAAAAGTGATGTCATTAATTTACTTTCAATATCTAGATAGGTTCATAGATTTCCTTTGTAACTTTAAATGATCAGTTTATACTATGGCTGCATTCATTTTTGAGACATGATTTCCACAAAGTGAAACTTAGTTTTTGAACATCAGTATTAAAAGATCGATGTGGATAATTCAGATGTTTTAAGCCTTCTATTGAATGATTTGGCTTTAACAATCTGATCTGAGTTTTGCATTTATCATTCAAATAAGATGGTTATGAAATTCTCACTGTTAGAATAATTTGTCAAATCTTTTTACCTTAATCGCCATTGGATGATTGCCCTGTGGGTAGGGAAGCTACTGATAAGAACAGGCAATCTTGCCCTTCTGCATGTTTGTCTGAAAGTGTATTAATCCACCAAGTATCCTTAGCAAGCTGGACCAAGCATTAGGGATTCCTCTGCTATGATGAAATTGTCCCTGATGTGTAGTGCAATAGGGTATTTTCCAAATAGCCTGCACCTTCATATACAATTCACCTTATTATTTTAACTGACTTTATTGATTATATCATCAAAATAACTGATCACTCCACAGAAACTTCTTTGACTAACTTGACCTTTAGATAAAATATAAAATACATTTTCTGTATATTTTTTATTTTGTTTCTAATTCTAATGCACATATTTTGCTTATTGAAAAGCAGAGTTTGTATTAATTGTG